GCCCTGAAGCCGCCGGTGAACCCAGGCCCGGCCCTGGGGGGGAGGGAAAGGTTGTGCCTGGTGGGAATTGGGGGGGGGTCTAACATCGCCCTGGTTGTCCAGGGCCGTTATGTTATCCCCCTCCTCGCAGATACTCATGGCCCGGGGGGGACAGGCCCTGAGCAACCTGCAGTGGTGACCCTGGCCAGGCCAGGTGCTCCCCAGGGGAGGCTTTTGAATCCCGGTATCCTCTTAATTGCGTCCTGGTTTTGTGGTGAAATGAAAGCAGGAGGATACAATTGCATGACGAGAGGCTTGGACTGCAATCTTGTCAGGCTGTGGCTGAGAGCCGGCGTCCAGGATCAGTTTTTGAGAAGGACATTAAACACTACTAGTTTTGTTTCCTGCCCTTAGTAGTAGTGCTCGTTGACTACTTGTTTTGTACACCTAGCAGAGTTGAGAGCTGCTTCTCAGACTATGAAGCCTTTTGCCTGCATGACAACACCAGTTTGAAAGCTTTACCTGATACTGAACTAAACTTTCGCCAGTTTTCACTTGCACTTCACCTCCTTGTTGCGTAGATTTTGGTTGCTTAGATTTTTAATCATTTGTATATGCTTTCCCTTCTCCTCCACCCTTAAGAGTTTATTCTTTGATTGGATTAACTTTAGAAGCCCTGCTATAGACAAGACTTTTTTCTCACCCCCTTAAGCACTAGATACAATTTAACTTACATGATTAATAGCCTGCACATAAGGTGTTTTCTCATTGCTGTTTTGGAGAAGTTCTTGCTGATGTTCAAAAGCAGAAACAAGGATAAGTATCCCTGGATTTTCCCTTCATACCACTATTATTTTTCTCTTTTCTTGTCTCTTCCAGGGTTGTGTTGATCACCCTATTGTTTTGACAGAAGCGGTGTGCAATCCTCTGTATTCGAGACAAATGATGTCAGAGCTCCTCTTCGAATGTTACCAAGTGCCAAAAGTGTCTTATGGTGTAGACAGCTTGTACAGTTTTTACCACAACAGAAAGCAGAACTGGCCCTGCAGTGGTTTGGTGATATCTTCAGGTTATCAGTGTACGCACATTTTGCCAGTCTTAGAAGGCAGGTGAGTTCTTGATGTCTTAAGTACGGTGCAGCTTCTCTTTGTCAGTCATTGCCTTTTCAGTGATGCAAATACCCATTTCTCTAGCATTCAGTATTCCAGCTCCTGCAGTCTGAGCTCTTATCAGGTCTTGATTTATACTGATGAGTTAAAATTAGGTCTGCAGATTTTGCTAAGTCCTGTTGAATTTTGAATTGAAGCAGCTGGGCTGTCCTTGCACATATTGTATTTTTAGTTACTATTCAGGCGTAGTTCTTTATTTTCAAAAGTAGAAGGGGATATCTGCCCCAAGTAAAATCAGACATTAAAAAAGATATGTTAGGTTTTAAGTGCCCTGCGAGATTTCTGCAGTTCCTGAGGCTTTTATCATTCTGATTATGCTGCTGTGTTGCTCTAGTCTTTTTTTGGTTGGTTTGCTTTTAATCCTTACTGCAAGAAATGGCTTTATTTTATCTGGTAGATGCTTCAAATTTTCGAGGGCTACACCTGGCCAACTGCGAAATGTTACAAAGGTTAAAGGAACTACTTTTAGCTCCACTAACCATTGCTTCCCTTCTTAAAATAGAACACTTCCTTGCTGTAGCCAAAATTATTTAATGTTTGGGGTTTTTAAAGCAGAACAGAGCCTTTCGGAAAGTATCTGCAAAAAACAAAGCAGTGATTATGCTTGTTGTCTGAGAAAAGCAGATGTGTTAGATTCTCTGATAACTGAATCTTGAAATATTTATCTGTGAATCTTCATCTGTATACTTGCCCATATCAGAAATTAAGTAATACTGGGGACAGTAGGAGGTCTGTTTTATGCTGAACTTGCAGATCTCTCCGATCTCAGTTGCGTCTCTTTGCATTTTCAGGCTGGATGCTAAAAACTGCAAACGTATTAATCTTGGAGGATGTCAAGCAGCTGTCTATCTCCAACGCCTCCTTCAGCTGAAGTACCCAGGACATTTTGCTGCCATCACTCTCAGTCGCATGGAGGAAATACTGCATGAGCATAGCTACATTGCAGAGGATTATATAGAAGGTAAAACCAGCTGCAATTTACTACTAGACAGTATTGATCCAAACTTCATTTTGTTTTTATATCCCTTGTTCTCAAACCGGCTGGGATTCTGGCAGAAATACTCTACTACTATTTTGCTTTCTTCGTAGCTGTCTTTCTGGTAATCTACCTTATGGGAAATGCTTGACAACAGTTTCAAGTTTAACATGAAGATAGAAACAAAATTAAATTACAAAAAAAATTTTCTGCATTAGTTCAAATTTTTCTGTGAATAAAAATTGGAATTATTTCAGAGGAAAAGAATTTAAAATAAGTTTATTTTATTAGTTACTTTATACTGCCAACAAAACATTAAACTGGTTAGCATGATTTCTGCATCTGACTGTTTCTTCTCTGCCTTTTTGGCGTATCCTTTTTAAGGTTTCCAAAATTGCAGAGGACATTTCTCATGACTCTTTGTGAATTAAAGAGGTTTTAAAATTTCCATGGTAAACGTCATCTTAAATAGTGGCTGAGAAATAATGTTTTCTTTGTCACTTATGGAAGAGCCTGATGGAGTCCTTAGTCCTTCCTTTCCTTAGGAAAAGAGAAGAGACGTTAGTGTGCACTTCCTACTTCTTAGTACTTGATGTTTCCTGTATGCTGGAGATCAGAACGCTAAGAACCATGTGCAGGGAGTATCTGACTGGCAGGCAGTGCTTCGAGGGTAGCTAAATACGGGGGCAGCTGCCAGAGCTGGGCAGAAACCCGGGCTGTGCTGTTGCCTTCTCTCTTCTAAGTCTGAACTTAGCATGGAGTGCCTACAACGTATGAATCATCCTTCTCTGCCTGACAAAACAGTTATTTTGCTTTCAAAACCTTCAGAGCTACAGAAGTGGCGGTCCCCAGAGTACTATGAGAGCAACATGCACAAGATGCAGCTGCCTTTCTCTAATAAACTGCTGGGAAGCACTCTGACATCAGAGGAAAAGCAGGAGAGGCGGCAGCAGCAGTTACGTCGACTTCAAGAGCTCAACGCACGTCGCCGAGAAGAGAAGCTGCAACTTGATCAAGAGAGGTTGGACAGACTACTATATGTACAGGTAATCAAGGCAAAGATTTCTGTGGGATCTTTTGGGAGAGGGGCAGGCTGCCCCCGGAGCTTCACACATCACTGTAGAGATGCTACGACGGTCCTGTATGTTTTCTGATAGGAGCTTTTGAAGGTTACTTGCAAGAGAAAAGGGAGAGATTATTTATGCAGAGCATGCTTCTAGGTTCTGAACAGTACTTCTTTTGTGAAGTACTTTGAATGCCGCTGAAGACACACATCGTAATATCTAGTCGTGAAGGCAAAGCGTACACGCACAGTTGATGGATAGTTGATTGTCCTGTGTTGTTCATCACGGCTAACTCTGATCTGTCTGTAGGAACTTTTAGAAGATGGTCAAATGGATCAATTCCACAAAGCTTTGGTGGAGCTGAATATGGACTCTGCAGAAGAACTTCAGTCTTACATCAACAAATTGAGTCTGTCCGTTGAACAAACGAAGCAGAAAATCCTACAGGCAGAAGTCAATATTGAAGTAGATGTTGTGGACAGCAAGCCAGAGGTATAATGTTTTCACCGAGTTAATCCTGTTCTTATCTCTGACAGAATTAAGTTTCTTTGCTTGAAAATGTGCCCCTTCAGACTTCTATTGATGAACTGAGTTTTTCCTTTAACAGACTGCAACTCGTTAGTTTGGCAACTGCTTCTCTCTTTTCCAGCTTTCCTATGCAGCTTCAGAAAGGGACAGTTCTGGTTTTATAGAGTATGCCTGAAATCAGTAACCCTTCTTGTGCTGTTCTGCACTGTGCTCTGGGACATACCTTATAGTTTGATTCCGTATAGTTTTAAGCATAATCTCTAGGCTTCCTGACAGTATTTGAAGTATGCAGTTGTATGAAATCAGTAAGTTTCCTTAAAAATTTCTTGCGCATCTTTAAGAAGTGGGAGAAAAGAGGAGGTACCCTGAGGGTACCACTGTTCTCTTTGTACTTACTCCTGGCAGTGTATGCCAGCCACTGTTCTTACTTAAGGTTGTCTTGCTTAGAGGGTTGTAAATGCAGCAGCTAACATAATGATTTTGTTCATAGTTTAAACCAGTCTCTAACTCTGCTTTTGCATTGTTTTTCGTGAAATAAGTGGGCCTGGTACGTTAATGATTTTAGATTTTTTTTCCAATGCATGACACTTAAGACATGGAGTTTTACGTACTTAAACCACAAGTGGTTATAATCCTAAGACAACCATCCTTAAATGTCTGTAGCCTTGTATTAGAGACATAGAAGAACCTATCAAGCTTTTTGTTAAAAACAGTCTTTGTTTTCCTATCTGTTCTTCCCTTTCAGATGCAGAGAACTTTATGGTAAACAACTAACCCTTTACCTTCATTTTGCTATCTTTTTTTTTTTGGTGCAATTAAGCAGCAGTTCTATTTTGTTTACTTAACAATGAAAGATTAATTACTACACTTGGTTGTTGGCATAGTCTTGAAGATGAGAAGTTTATTTGTCTGCTTTGCCAGACTAATACAGGCCCAGCACATAGCAACTGCTTCTGAGAGATGGTCTGAGCTGTTTGTGCATTTACTTGTAATTGCCTTTCAAGTCACAAAAGATAGAGCTTTTTTAGTTGTATGAGTCCTTGCTAAGGAAAAGGTAGAGAGAAAACAAAACTGAAGCACAGAGGAGAGTGGTGCCAGATATAGGAGTTCTTGTGTCTTACGTGGAACTTGAGATGCAGCCAAAGCTAGCAGGTGAGCCGATACCTTCTGGGTGCTATATTTTGAGTATCCTTATCAGTAAAACTTATGTAAGAATCAGAATGACTGTGAAATTGAGGCAGGTGATGGGCTTACCATTGTGGTAAAGAATCTTTCTGCATTCTGTCAGAAGAAATTCTTCTACAAAAAGATAATTGAGAAACTATCAGCTTCTTGTAATTTTGCTTAGTGGTTGTGCCTAAGTTCCAACATGTCCGGCTTGGATCCCGTGCTCCCCTTCTTTACTCGGTGTGATCTCAGACCTTGGAATGAATCGGCAAGCCTTTTTGTTTGGTCTGTGCTTTGTGAGAGCACCTGCAATTATCACCAAATCCATTTCTGAAGATAAGCCATCCCTCTGTGGCCCTGTAAAGGAGTCTAGAAGCTAATTATGTTGTCCTACGGTCTGTGCCAAGTCTTCAGCTGAGTTCTATGTTTTTTTCTGTTGCTGGTTTGTTGGGGTTTTTTTAAAATATAAAAAGAAATGGATTTAACAACACATAAATGTTGGAGATAAATTCTGGTCACTACCATTTGTTTGCTGTACCAAGGAATGCTGCTTCAACTTCAGTTTGAGTAATTGCTTGGGTTTTAACTGGATGTAAGCTACACACTTAAGAATGTTTAAATGATCTAGGTTTATCTCATCCTGGTATTGCTTGCTAGGTGTTGCAACAAATGTTTCAAGTTTAAAATAACAAAACCAAATCTTTAGCAACACAATCCCAAAGGTAACATTGTAACAAAAAGAAAAGCTCATTAAAAAGCTGCTCCTACTTCACAACACTGAAATACTCTAGGATTTTGAGTGATCCTTTTCATTAGGAAGGAGCTTTGGGAGCACCTTCACATCTGTGTAAAATACAAGGGCTTTTGGTATATCCTGTGTGCAAATGCTAGGCAGTTGAAACTGTCAAAAATTGTCTGGCAGCCTTGTAGCTAGCAAATATTTGTTTTCCAGTCCCACACAAGCAAGGCAGGGATGCTATGGTAATTATAGAACAGTTGGAGGTGCTGGGAGTGCACCAAGTTTTAACCAATTTAAAAAGCTATTTTAATAAGTTTTAGTATGTTGTTATATTTAGGACAGGGCTGGCTAGGATCCTGGCAGTCAGCCTGTTGACTAAGGCCTTTAATTTCTTAGGTAGCATAATGATAAATTTATTGAAAGTGTTTGATTTTTATGTTTTGAGTGAATGTCTGCCTTAACTCCGGTTTTCTAGATTGTTCACCATTTTGACTTTTGTCTAAAGTGCTGGAAGACAGCATATTTGGTTTCAGGCATGCTAAAGAGTTGAGATTTGAGGGAATCAGGGTTGAATTTTCCAAATATGTCACCAGAATTGAAGTCATATGTGTCATATTAGTCACCTGAGCTAATCTACCTTAATATACCTTCTCTCTTTCCAGACTCCCGATTTGGATCCATTAGGCAGTGAACAATCACTGGAGGATGTGGAAAGTATTAATGAGTTTGAACCTTTGTTTGCTGAGGAGCAGCCCGAAGTTGAGAAGCCTGTTGCTGCAGTGCAGGTTTGATTTCTGTTTCTACACCTCGTGCCAGAGGTTGCTGCCTCCCAGTTGTCCAGCTAGTCTGCTAACATTTCTCCAAATGCAAACATTGTTTGCCTCTTCTTGGAAGTGATGCTTAAACTATCTGAAGAGGACATTAAGAGAGGAGAAGTCCTTGCAATCTTAGCTGATCATTTAGAACATGAATATACCCACTTGGCTCACTCTGCAGGCAGTGCCTGTTGTAGCAGTGCCATGTTATTAGGGAAAAAATGTCCCGCTCAAGTTTTTTTTTGTGTGTGGTCTGTAGCCCAATATCGGTTCCCATTTGGAACTTTTTACAGCATGGCCCTTTCTCTGTGAGAACATTACAATCTGGTTTTTTGTACAGAATTGTTTGGAAACTTTGCTTGTTCTAGAATATTACTATTCTTTAACATAATTTCCTACTACTTTTCAATCTCATCTTTTTAAAGCCCGTGTTTAACCTGGCAGAGTACCATCAGCTTTTCCTTGGCACTGAAAGAATCAGGGCTCCAGAGATTGTTTTCCAGCCCTCCCTGATAGGAGAAGACCAGGCTGGTATAGCAGAAACCATGCAATATGTCCTTGAGAGGTGAGTTTACAAAGCTACTTGGCACTTACTTCAAACAAGCTAGTCTTGTTTTGATATCAGCTTTTGCAATACTGGTTACTTAACAGTAATTTGAGAAAATATGTTTGAATAGTTCTTTTTTGGGGGGGTTGAGCATTACAGGTTGGACATATCTTCCTGTTCTGAAAACCACGTGAGTTGGCAGTCTCTGGTTTTGCGAGACCAAAATCAGGGGTGACGTTTTAAAGCAGTGATATAGGCACACTTGCTGGACAACTATTTCCAGACAACTTAGCATTAGCAAAATGTCACCCCTGAACTGTATGAACATACGAGATTGCATTTTCTGAAATGCATAAGAATTCCAGCTCTACTGAGCTGTTAACTTATGAGGTACAGTGCACAGAGTGCTTTAAGGATTTTCTTCTGCCACCCCCTGAATTTCCAGAAAACACGTAAACACAGGTTGTCGTGCTGTAAAAGGGAAGGAAGTTTCTCAAAGTGATTCCTGAAGACAAAGTATCACCCTGTAGCTGTTCAGCTCATAGGGAGAGATGTCCTTGAGAAAGACTGAAGTTGTCTTCTGTTCCTTGTAGATATCCAAAGGAGCAGCAAGCTATTCTTGTCCAGAATGTTTTTCTCACTGGTGGAAATACAATGTACCCTGGACTGAAAGCCAGAGTGCAGAAGGAACTCCTTGAAATGAGGCCGTTCCAGTCATCTTTTCAGGTACATGTATTGACGTGTTGTTTGTGTGAACAGCCTGTTCATCTGCGTTCAACAGTAATTCTGGTCAGGAGAGGTACAGAGCAGGTGTACTTTGAGCATGGGAATGGAGAGTGTTTTATGGCAAGACGCTGCAAACAGCTTTTTTGACCTGAGAAGATGAAGGTTAAGCAAAGATACAGTTGTTCTTTCTGAAGACATTAGAGAGAGTAGGGTAGATGACTTGGAAAAGGAAAACCTGCTTCAGTTAAAGGACTATGCATGCACAAGCATCTTTGGCTGGAAATTTGCAGATTGATTTCTTAGGATTGGGACAGTTATTGTCTGGAATAAGTGACCTTTATTAGGAGAAGTTGCTGGGAAAAACTGTGCTCACTTCAAAACTAAGTTACATGTTCACTTTGTTACATGTAACGACTGTGACAGCAGCAAAAGACATTCAGAGAGTATCTTGCAAACCTGTGATCTTTGCAAGTTTTTTAGTAGTGAGCACAGTACAATCTGGGGAAGTCCCAGTTTGCCATGCATTTTGTAAGGAGAGTCTCCCTTGCTGTTCTGAAACCACCTTTGTCCCCTCAAATCTACTATCTTCTTGAATAGAAAATCAGGTTATAAACTGGCGAGAGACAAAAAATCAGTGCAAATGTGATCTTGTGATTCCACAACCCTTGTTTTGTACAGTTATTGTACGTAGCTCTGGGCCAGGTATGACGGACAGCAACTTAGTTACAGCAATATACTTGGTAGTTTTAGGAAGGATATTGCTTGCTAAGTTTTTGGTGTGAAACTTGACTGTTGGAAGAAAACATGCACATTTTCATCTGCTTTTAATGTTGCTGCTTGTAACTGAATACGAGCTTCCTTCTTGCCATTAAAATACGGTCCGTAGTGTGGTCCTATCAGAAATCTGTCACGTCACAGATATCACATATGGGATTTACATGGTGTCTAGTCTAGCAAGCCCATAGCTGAACCAGGAAAGGAGTTCATGCTACAGTAATAGGAATAGTTTACATGAAAGTATGAATCTACAGCCAGGGAAAGAGCACACAGTTCTTTCCCACATACGGTGATTTCTCAGCCTGCAGGATTCCTCCCTGATACTTCAAGCAGGGAGAAAGTTTTGCTGGAGCACTTGATACTTGTTTTGTAGTACCAACAACTCTTGCAGCGTTGGCTTCCAGCTGTGGGGGCTGTTGGTTGTGAATGTGATACACCCATGTGCTTTCTCAACCTGTAGAGACAAAGCAGGCTCAGGGAGAATTGATCTCAAGGTGAAAACACACTTCAGACCCATTCCTAACATTGCTCTTCCCCAGAGGCACTGAATAATCAGCTCAAACTGCTGAAATTCATTGATTTGTGCCATATACTTCTGTAATCAGGGTAGAAAGAGCTTTTCTCTCCTGTGTTGAATTGACATTGTTGTTCTATTTTCCATCCATCCAGGTTCACCTTGCTTCCAGTCCTGTTTTAGATGCCTGGTATGGGGCTAGGGATTGGGCAGTGGAATACATGACCCGTGAGGAAGGCTGGATAACCAGAAAAGACTATGAAGAAAAAGGAGGAGAGTACCTCAAGGAACACTGTGCTTCAAATGTCTATGTTCCCATTCGCCTTCCAAAGCAGGCCCCAAGAACAACAGAGGCATCGGGACCTAGCAGAGCGCTGCCACCCAGCACAGGCAACCCTTGTGAGCAGGCATAGCATAGCGCCTTTGTCACAGCCCCTCGGATGTGGATAACAGTGCGGAGAAAAGAAGGGTTATTGGTTTGTGGTATGAGCTGTGTGTGGAGCGCGGGCCTCCGCCTAGCCTCGCTGGCTGCTCGGAGACCACTAAGTGTCTCGTCCGGCTGCTTGAACGAGGAGGAAAAGCCGCGCTGGAGCAACAGCTGGCACAGTCACAGCGCTTGCAACGCTTAGTGCCTCTCCTGCATAGTGCAGGAGTATTCACCAACAAGGAGGACGACCACAGAAGTGCATTCCAGGGAAAAACAATCTTATAAACTTTCATAATAAGACTCAGGATTTTTTGAGAGTATATGTTTTACAGGTTGGGGTTTTTTATTTAGTTAAAATGTACTGGTTTTGTACTGCTTTTACTGCCTGATCCAGAAGCTGTATCAAGCGAGTCAGCCCAGCAGGCGTCTCCCTCGCTCGTTGCAGCGAGCGTTCGTCAGGACATGTTGGTCAGGATGTGTTCGTCAGGACGCACGGCGCTGCTGGAGGCTGGAGGGGCTGATCTGTGCCTTTCCTCCCGAGGCCTCCTGCGCTCTCCTCTGGTTTGATTTCCTTCTTGCTGCACACTTTCTGCTAAACCACTGCCAAGTAAGCGGTGGGATTTCAGATACTTCTGGACTTCGTTTATGTCAGTAGTATTGATGTCTTGGTTGAAACTGGAGACCTGGTCACATAAAACACTGTCCAGATATAAAGACAGAACCTCTCATAAAGCACAGTCCAGAAGGACTGCCAAATCTCGTGCAGTCCTTAAGTGGTTTTGCAAGAGTGGTGGCTGAGCGAGGCAGCTCACGAGTGGTGGGACTTTTTTATCGAAAGTTGTTTTAGCAATAAAGCAAACCTTTTGCTTTACTGTTACCTTCTGTGTTTCAGTGATTTGACCTCTTTAAAGAGTACAGCAATAAGGATGTATTTGGGTGTACCTTGCTGAAAAATGCAGGTTTGCAGCCAGGCCCCTGTCCTGCTGCACAATGTGCTGCAGCTTAAATTTGACCGGGGATTCAGTTCTTGCATGGAACAACTTGCTATTGCTTTCCCAAAAGAATAATCAATACTAAATGCTGAACTGAAACCTAAGCAGGCTCCATCAGTTTAGCAAGGTCTGTAAAGCATTAGGTTGGAGAAGGTAGGACTATGGGGAAAATGTCCAGATTGTAACTGTATAAAGAAGGTGAGGAGGTGGTGGCAACTTACCGGCCCCAAGGGCCACAGAGCATCAGATAAGTTGTCATCTGCAGACTCAAAACAAAGGACATGAGGTGCTTGTTGGTGTTGAAGTGAGGGGTTTGTTGTCACGAGATATGACGTGTACATTTCTGGATTCAAAAACTATTACCCAGATCTGCGATTTAAAAAAAGAAAAATCTGCTATGGAATGTGGATGTGTCACCTGCGCGTAGGAGGTCCTGCAGTCGCGTATTACTTGGCGAGCGTACGAGGGAAGTGTTGCTACAGATCTGCTCTCTTTCACTGCGTCACCCAGAGCTGGTGGCCCTCGGGTGGGATACGGGTTTTGGTGGACCTTTGGCGTGGTCCTGATGGGCTGCTGGGCAAGGGGAGGAGGAGAAGGGAGCTTGCTGCCTTCATGTAACCTCGACTATTGATCCTATCCCTAGCTGCCTGGAGACATGCTAATTTTCAGGACCATTAAGGCAATTCTGTGGGTTGTAAGAATGTGGAAAAACGTGCTGTGCTGAAACATAGCAAAGTTACACCCCAAGGAAGTGTCTTTTCTGATCTCAGTTCGTATGAGTGACCTGGAGTAGAGTATATGATGTCCCATTGCTATTGACCCCTTGCTGACACATCGTCAGCTATCACGGCAGAGTGGGTACTCAAGATACAGAAATTTGTTCCCATACTTGGTGTTGGTTGCTAAATGGCTAAGAGGGTATCGTGCATAAAACTGTTCCAGAAGGAAAACCTGAAAGGGCTTCTGTAGTGAATGGTTATGTTACTTATAAATGTTTTGCCAAATTGTGCCAAGCACTTCACTTGCATTAATTCAAAGCAGAGCTGTCTAGTTCTGTACAGAGATGCCAGATCAGCTGCTGAAACAGCTTCAAGGAAGCATAATTTTATAATCTCCTAAATACTGGCTGTTCATTTGCTGCTTTATCCCCACAATAGCTGGAGTAACTAACGAACTTGGACATTGCGATCACAGTCACAGGCTGTTCTAAATGTGCTGGTGGGCCTTCAGTTGCTTGGAGTAGCACCATGAAAAGCGTGAATGTTGCAAAACAGGATTAATTTTACCCATTTAAGCTCTGTTCCCCGATACGATTTGCTGTGGTGCTACGTGAGCATTGGTGCTGGCAGGAGGAAAATGGAAGGAGTGCACGGTGCTGCGGGCAGGAGGACACAGCAGTGTTATTTGTGACAGTAGCGTTGGTCAGAGTCCTTGTGGAGCTCCACCATTGTGATGCTTGTGGCAAGGTTTTCTCATACCGATGTGCAGAATTTGGTTGTTTTCTATATAATTGGCACAGGAGTCACCTAACCCAGAAGGGGCTTGGACTGTTTCTTCTGCGTGTTGGCTTATGCTACCTGAGAGAGGAGCAGGCCAATAAGGCACCTGCTTGGCTTCTTTTTAATGCGACTTCTGGTTGTGTGAGGAATTGTTCAGTGAGAAAACTGCTTACTGAAAAAAAAACCCAGAAAAAATGATAATTCTGTGGACAGGAAGCCTGAACTGATGCTGTGAGGGCCTTTGCCAAGCGATCGTAGGGCTGCTCTTGAATGAGCAGCCTCAGAGCCTACCGTGTGTTTATCCTGGCAGGTGTCCTGCAAGCTGACAAAGTGCAGTTGCCAATTCAGAGGTGGTCAAGTGGTTCCCGTTCCGTCCTCAGTATATGAAGTTCAAAGCAACTTGTAACCTTATACAATTCAGTTATCGCCTAATTCAGGTCAAAGAATACAAAAGTACAAGTTGCAATTTAACAGCCATGGTGAGCTTGGTCTATTTAATCTAAAAGAGAGCTCAAACTGGGTTCCACCTTTCACTGGGTCCCCAAGACCTGCTCTGAGTGGAAACACCACGTCAGTGAGAAGCCCTGGAGACTAAACATAGATCATGTGTTTAATGTCCCAGATTTCCGTTTAAGCTGCATACGAGCCTTGCTTTTGGTCTTCAAGGCTTCTTACGTTTCCTGTGCCACAGCAACTTCAAACACTAACTGTTCTTTGCTAAATCTCCGCTAGGACACCAAGATTAGAACGCTTTGCTCCAGTTATTAATCTCCGAAATACTTAATGTGCTGTGTAAGACAGCATTTCAGAAGAAAGGGAAGATGCCCATGAACTGTCACTTAAAATTTAGGATTATCCCTCCAGAGACAGCCTGCAATGATCCCCTAGCAGCCAGTCATAAACCAGAAGTTTTGAAGCTTGTGTGGGATGAGCAGGGGAGGGGAGAATGCTGTAATGGATTTAACATTATCCCCAAAGTCATATGGTGGGATTTCCACCCCGGTTCGACATGTCAGGCACAGAGCAGCTGTGCTGATTCCCACTGCTCACTCCCACTGCTTTCTGCAGATAGTGAGCTGGTCCCTGAGCATCAGCTTCAACCAAACTACTCAGTTTTAAAGGACTCAAATCCCCGGCCAGCATGGTTTGCCAAGAGTTCTTCAGGCTCCTTTCGCTCCCTCTTTTCAGGTGCTTGGTTTCCTATATTTGGTTGACAACCAACTTCCCCTCCCCGCCTTGTTCATTCCACAAGCCCGGCTTTACCCCTCAAGAGTGGCAAAGTGCCATAATTTCAAGTTCGGTTTGTTTTTTTCTTTAACTGCATTGGGTTTTTTACATCCGTAGGGATCTCTTCTTCCTCTTTTTGACAACTGCACTTGGTTTCTATTTACGCAGCAGAGACCATGGTAAGAGTACTGCACCAAGAGTCAGGAGACCTGGATCCATTTTCATGTCTGTTTACTCACGACAAGCGGTGGCTGTTTGCTCTGGCCTCAGTTCTGGGCCTCGGCATCTGTAGCAGCAAAGCTAACCCGAGAATGGTGCTGGCAGGGGGCTTCACAGCGGGAAGGGGGGTGGGAAGGCTGGAAAGGGGTTTGTGGGGAATGAGGGGAGGTCAAATCATGGAGAAGAGGTCCATCTGTGCTTAATGCGCTGTGGGCCAAGTGGAAGGTCTTCAAACTGCTCATTGCCCAAAGCTGGAAGCAGCACGTGGTATGGTGAGAATCAGTCTATGCAGGCGTGCTTTTATTCCTAAGTAATTGCTATTGACCACTGTCAGTTAGAGAATGGAACAGGCTGGATTTATGGTCTGACTCAGAAGCTTTTATGCTCTTAAAATTCCTGGTTTGAGGCAGATAGTATTTTTTTTTTAGCTTTTTATTTATTTCAGGACTGGGGTGAAGTGTAAAGCAGCTGCTCTATTTATCTGTTTGAAAGTAAATGCGCTGTGCTGATGGCGAAAGCATCTTTTACATTGCCAGTGAGATTTTGTGAAAGCATCCAGGTTCCTGCATTTCCAGTAGCTGTAGTCAGGCGGTTAACATAAAGAGGATGCTCATCCCCAGGGAAGCTTGGTCCACTGCTCTTGGCAGGTCTGTCTGGACAAATGAGCTTTACAACATGCAAGGAAAAAGTATGGCGTTATTCAAAGTCGAATGAATTCCAGAGAAGAGAGACCTTTGGAAAGCATCTAAGCTCCTCATGTTTGAACTACTTGAGAACATGATGAATGATAGAGTATTGGATAGCAGGAAGGCCACGGTACATTGGGTGCCCTCCTTAGATGAAGGGCATGGGTGTGTGGTGGGCGGACCTCTGGGTGGGAGAAGTTTTGAGGAGTGATGGCAACCTGCAGCCCCCAAAGCCTGGTAGCTGCTGTGGTGGCACATGGGGGTGGCACACGGGGCTGCAGTGCACGCGCTTTCCCGAGTGCCTGATGCTCGGGAGGGGTTGGAGGCTGTTGGCTGCAACTGAGGCCGATTTTCCTCCTCTTCTCTCTAAACTATCACCCTGTTTCTGCACCTCTTCCTGGAGCATCCTCCGTGCTCCTAAACAGCTCCCTATGCCCAGTGGGAAAACTGACTCGCTGGGAGGCAAGTTCAAGTCTGTGCAAACTGTTTTTGTGTAGTCTTAGCTTTCCACTAAAGATTTTGATGTGGAGATTTTGTTCTTCAAGGTGTTCTCACTCTCTTCAAAGGAGAATGACAATAAATAAGAAAAGCTAGCCTGCCTCACTGACACTTGTTTCTGCATTTGAACGGCAGCCCAACCGTGTCCAAATAAGAAACAGTTCTGTTGGTCTGGTCTTCCTGCTCTGAGGGCT